TGTTTTTGTACTGCAGAGGAACCAAAGACTTTGATAGGATTTTATTTCCTGAATGTGACTGATGCCTGAGAAAACTACTTTTCTATTCCAGTAAGGCTGCTTTGAGGAGCAGAAATGGGAATTAAGCATGACTTTCAAGAATTTTGGTCTTCAACTTCACTAATCTCTTATAGTTAGTATCCAATGTTCTGCAATGGTAGAACATTTAAGCACATGACATGAAGGAAAATAGCTATTTGTGTATTTTAATAACTTTTAGGTATCTTGCTAGTAAAACATCCAGACCTTTCACCTTCCTGAACTTTTAGTAAGGGTGGAAGAGAAAAGGTAAAACATTTGATGCTAAACATTGAGACAGGGTTCAAGGATTATTTTACCAATTGGCTTATTATTGGCAGTAATTATCATGAAAAGCTTGAAGTGACACTTAGTTTGGCTACTTTCTTTTCAACAAGCAACCCCGCTCTTAGCTGTACTTAGGGCATCCAAAGATGTGAGACTGATTAATGATACTGAATAGTGAAATTTTCTGGTATCTTAAAGTGTTTTCCTGGTAATTATAAAGAGCTGACCCCTTCACAAAGCAGGGCATCAAGGCAGGTGGAAACAGTACAACTCAGACTTTGAAAATGGAAGTCCCCAGATCACATCAGAAATGCCCAAAGTGTTTTTTTTCCAGAAAGCATTCTGACAATCACTGGTGCTGGTAGCAGAACTCAGCCAGCCAATGAGATCAGGTAATGTCAGCTCCATGGTAATCAGCCTTGAACAAATGCTGGTGGGCTTTTTTGTTATTGCTTTTTTTAACAATCATTCTGTACTTCACACTTATGTAATTCTACAGGTTTTATTAATTTAGGATTTAATTGATTTTATGTATCTGATTTATAATGATAATTAACATTGTTCTTGGGAACTGTTTGGAAATGCACCTTATTTAGGAAAAATCTCTAAAGGACACAGAAACATTCATTCCCATGAGTTTTCCATCTGTCTTTCACATGATTGTTTGCAATATGAAGGAATCTATAGCATCTATGCCTGTGGGTTTTTTTTTCTGTAGAAGAGACAGTATCAGAAACTAAATTACAATCCACTGTGTTGCATTGGTTGCTAGGGGGAGCATGGGACAGTGTTTTGGGGGTATATTACCTGAGAAGCTGCTGGAAGCTTCTCTGGAGCCAATGCCAGCCACCTCCAAGATGGATCTACTGCTGGCCAAGGCAGCATCAGCAACAGTGGTAGTGCCTCTGGGATATTTGGAAATGGGAGGGAAACACTGTGCAGTTGCATATGGAGAGAGGAAAAAGGAGTGAGAATATGTGAGAGAAGCAGCTCTGCAGACACCGAGGTCAGCGAGGAAGGAGGGGCAGGAGGTGCCCCAGGCACTTGAGCAGAGATTCCCCTGGTGCAGCCCATGGTGAGGCAGCTGGGCCCCTGCAGCCCAGGGAGGTCCATGGGGAGCAGAGATCCACCTGGAACCCAGACCAGAGCCGGTGGAACCCAAAAGAGGCTGTTCCCATAGAAAGCTTCTGGCAGTATCAGTGGCCCCATGGGTAGAGGAGCCCACACTGGAGCAGGTTTGCTGACAGGACTTTTGAATCCTCTGGGGTCCATGCTGGAGCAGCCTGTTCCCAAGGGACTGCACCCTATGGAAGGGACCCATGCTGGTGGAAGAGTGTGAGGAGTCCTCCCCCTGAGGAACATGTAGTAGCCAAGACAACACGTGATGAACTGAAAGCGGCCTCTGTTCCCCATCACCATGTACTGCTGGCAGGGAGGAGGTACAGAAACCAGGAGTGAAGGGAATAAGGAAAGGCTGGGAGAATGCTGTTTTAAGATTTCTCCTTATCCTATTCCAGTTTAATTACTAAGAATTTAATTTCCCCAGGTTAAGTCTGTTCTGCCTGTCACAGTGCTCACTGCTGAGTGATCTCTGTCCCATCTCGACCCAGGAGACTTTAATTACATTTTCTCTGCTCTGCTTTGCTGAGAAGAGTGACTGAGTGGCACTGGAGGGCACCTGGTGCTCAGACAGAGTCAACCTACTGCTCATAGGTCTCTGACCACTTAAAAAGAATTTGCTAATGTTGTCTCAGATAGACATGGGAGGGCTTCTGGGTCCCACTCTTTCCTCTCATATACTTTCTAGATAACATTTATCATGGGTGACTGGTTTCAATGTCAGGCTTGCAGAATTTCATGATCCTATGGCTGTTCTTTTAGATGGATCCACAAATGATGGTGTGTCAGAATAAACTTTTCTCTTTTTTTTGCTGCAAGATACAATTTTATGCTGGGTCTACACTGCCCATCTCACAGCTTTTGTAACAAAAAAATGCCTTTGCTATTCAGGGTGTTTTGACCCTGAACTGCTTTGGGCACAGCAAGAATAAGCAGCTGGAGAAGGCATGCAGAGAAATGTCTGCTGTGACCTTCCTCAAGCAGCCCGGGCTACCCAAAATGAAGGAAAGCCCTCACCTGCCTATGAGGAAGGAAGGAAAAGTACAGGTCTTGGACAGAAGTAGAAGCTCTTGGTTATTGCCAGGAATTTTGCATCACTTGATGATTGACATTATGTCTGCTAAGTGCTCGTGGACCTTAGCTCCAGGATTTCTCCCTCACTCAGAGACAACAGCTCCCAAGCAGCTGCACCAGCCTTTGCAACATCGACCTCTGCTGCAGGCACAGGCTGTCCAGGAGAGGGATGCCAGGACACCCAGCTCCTGTTTTGGGGCAAAAAAACGGATCAGCAGGCAACATCTAAGTCAGGCAGCTGTCAGGAGGTGAGGCAGGATCAAGTCAAAGACTAGGAAAGCTTATGCAGGATGGCTGTGGAGCAAACACCACACATGAAGTTCCCAATGTGGATGTGTTTAGAATGCCTTACGGCTCTGAACTTAAAAGTATTTTAAAGGGATTGCATTATATATTCTTTCTAGTATTTTATGAAGCTATTTATAGTAGTTGAATGCCAGGAGTTTGGGATGAAAAAAACCAAAACACCCAAACAAAAACCCCAAAGCAATTCTAGAAGTAGCCTGTATTTTCTTCAGTCTTGTGGTTCTGTGTCAGATGGGATAACACAGAGTTAGCCATATTACTATTTCAAACTGACATATTCTATTGAAAATGAGTCAGGAGCTACTCTGTAATACCTCCTGAATCCAGCAGAGCTAATGCCGATTTACACTAACATTACTGAGAGGAGAATTTGGCCATTTTTGGACATCAATGATTTCTAAGAAAAGAGATATGTTGTATCTGTAATAGGGCTTCAGAACCCCTCATTAATGAGATTTATGAAACCTGAAAACAGACTGCTGAGCAACAACTTTATTCTTTGCAAACTGTGCAAGCTGGTGCTACATACCTTTTACATTTAATAACAAAATACCTGCCTGGAGCACCTTTTACACTTTAGCTTGTACATGCATTGTGTCATAGTATTTTATTCCAATTTCTATCAGATAACTCTACTGTCTGTATACCGGAAGAGTTTTTACAATGCTCTGAGTCCCTGAGACTGGATTTTTATTTCTCAAGTAGGGCATTCTCTGCAATAACTTTCCATCACTGCATCCAACATTCTTTGCCTCTGCTGAAAATCATGGCTGATTAAAAGTCTAATGCAACAGCTGTTTGTGATCATATGATTGATATGTTTTCTAGACAGATGCTGAGTATTAGATGCAGAAACATTTTTACAGTACTCAAGAAATTTGGAATTGATATTTATTAAAGCCACAGTAGGACAAAGCTGCTAAACAATGCAGGTTCTTTACAGACATAATTAAGAATTTATGTAACTCCAATGATTGATTGCATCACTCAAAAAAGCCACCCTCATAGGCGGTTTTTCAGGAAGCAAAATTATTTTCACTAATCAGAAAGTACTCTGAAAACTTCTAACAATGCACTATGCCCACAGATTACTGCACAATGTAATTTATTTTTGCTGTTTAATATCAGGGGTGAACTCCCATTGTCAAAAAGCTTATTTGTTAGCTCCCATTAGCTGGCCACTATGAGAGCAGCTGCTCCTGGCAAGATCACATGGAGCACACTAGGGATGGGGCAGCTAAACAGTTTGCAGTATAGGAGACATTAGGTTTTGTAACTGTATTTAAGACACAAAAAAAATATCTTTGTGGTCAGTCAAGGCCCTGCTGCCTGATGGCTCCAGCCTGGGGAGGCATCTCGGAGGACAGATCCTCATCCACAGCCTGCCACGAGCCTGGCAGGGGAACACCTGGGAACACCTGCTGTGGCTCTTGGAGTGACCCCTGAGCCCCCGTGCCCATGCCAAGAGCCCGAAGGAGCTGCAGCAGAGGTGTGCAACGGGGCACGGCCCGGGCTGAGGCTGCCGGCCATGAGGGGAGGCACCTGAGGGCGAGGGGCTGCACCTGAAACTGAGGGGTGAAACGGGAACCTGAGGGGCTGCACCTGGGAACTGAGGGGTGGAATGGGGACCTGAGGGGCTGCACCTGAGAATTGAGGGGTTGAACCTGGGACCTGAGGGGTGGCAATGGGAATTGAGGGGTGGCAATGGGAATTGAGGGGTGGTGGCACAGGGAAGTGAGGGGAGGCTCCTGGGAGCTGAGGGGTGGCACAGGGAACTGAGGGGTGGCAATGGGAATTGAGAGGATGAACCTGGGACCCGAGGGGCTGCGGGGTGGAATTGAGGGGTGGCATGGAGAACTGAGGGGATGAACCTGGGAATTGAGGGGTGGGACCTGATGGGATGCACCTGGGAACTGAGGGGTGGAACGGGGACCTGATGGGATGCACCTGGGGCCTGAGTGGATGCACCTGAGTGCTGATGGGATGCACCTAGGAACTGAGTGGATACACCTGGGGCCTGAGTGGATGCACCTGGGACCTGAGGGCTTGCACCTGAGTATTGATGGGATGCACCTGGGGCCTGAGTGGATGCACCTGAGGGCAGAGGGGCTGCACCTGGGATTTGAGGGGTGGCACTGGGAACCTGAGGGACTGCACCGGCACTCAGGCCACCCTCAGGCTCTGGCAGGAGCTGTTCCAGAGCAGTCTCCAGCCAGTAGCAAACTCTTTGTGAAGAGTGTCCAGGCAGTGCCCCATGAAGAGCTGCTGCATTCAGGTAGGCTGTTCCTTTTGGCTGCCCTCAAAGCCCTGCCCTGCTGCCGGAGTATCTGCGTGGGTGGTGGGAGCAGGGGAGGGGAAGGTTTCTTTTCTTCTTGGAGAGAGTTGGAGTTTGAGGTTTTAAAGGCTCTGGCTTCACACTCGGATAAGGCTGCTGCTGTGTGTGTTTGGGAGAACCTCCCTGGGTAAGCCTAGTCTCTGCTGTCTTGCCCCAGGCTCTTCACTTAACTGTGCTTGCATTTTGGGCACCTCTGCCTCTGGAATGCCCGTGTTTGACATGGAGAGGAGGCTTGGGCTTTTAAAGGGTGTGGACAGGGAAACTAGGAAAGGTTTTCCAAAGGAAATTGCAGGCTGAAGTGATTCCTAACAAGTGTTTACGAGGGAAGTTTGAATGTGCCCTCACCTCCTCTATGTGCTCTTGGTATCCCTGGTTGTCTCACAAGGATTTGTTTTTCTGGTGCTCTCACAGATCCTGAGCTCAGGTAAGATATTTTTATGCCAATCTGGGCTCAGAATAGCAGGTGAAAGTGTTTAAAGCTTTTTAATCAGGAGAAATCTTCAGTGGTGTGTCTTTCCCTCTGGAACGTATGTACTCTTGACAATCCAATTATACATGCAATTTTTCTTGGTACTAGTAAGACTTTCTGGTTTTGGTTTTTGGGATTTTTTTTCCCTTACCAGTTCTACTTGAAATCAAAAATTTTTATCCCTTTCCTCTGCAGCATGGACAAAGAGACTATAAATGGGCAATTACTTTACATCAGAGCTGCACCTGAAACTAGTTAGTGGCAGTTCCTTGGATTGACGGTGGTTGGGAGGGAGAAGCAAGTTTATTCCAATTTGTGAAGTTAAAGTCTGTCTATGGAATTTTTATACACTGAGAATAAGGTCAAAATAAAGTTAAGTTTGAGAACTTAGTCTTGAAATAATCAAAAGCTGGATTATTATTTACCCACATCTTACTATTTTCCCAGGAAGATCACTTTCTCTTGATAGAGGAATTTGGTTACAGAATGAATTAGTGAAGCAAAAGTAATATGGTAATTACTGCTGTAGGGAGGGAACTCTGAGTCTGAGAAAACTGCAATAATTTATGCTCTTGGCCATCAGTGTGTGTATGCCATGGGAACAAATAAAAACCAGCATATGAAATAAACATTCAGAAAAGGCCTTGCTCTGTGTAACATGCAAGACAAACAACCTCTGTGTGTTGCATCTGTGGGTCTTTAATGTAAAACTGAAAGAAAATACATGTTCTTGGTAATTAACTCTTATGTAGTGTTGAGCTCACTTTGGCAATTACGGCTTTAAAAAGACTTTAAAAGACCCAAATGCAGAACCAAATAAATTCTTTTCCCACTTAGCTGAATCCAGCTCCTGAAAAATGACAGAAAAGGATTCTGAAAATGTAGGGGACATGGATAAAAACACCCAAATAGGCAAATGGAGTATATCTGTATATTGTGAAGTCATGTTTTTGGGAAAGAAAAGGCTCTGTTTCCTCCATAATTGTTGTTAGTTTCCCTCCAACTAGAAACTGATTACAAACATAGAAAATAAATGCAGAGGAAATGATACACATTCAGTTTGTGTCAGCATGCAAGCCCCTTCTAGTAAATGAGGGTCAAAAAGCTTTAGCCAGGAAGTTGAACCAATCTATCAACATATACAAAAATAACTCAAGACAAATACCAATTAAACATCACGTATTGTTGTTTGCTATAAAGGAAAGCAATAGATTTAGTTCATTTCAGATTCTCTGTTACGAGCTAGAAAATGTGTATGAACTACAAGTGTCCATATGATAATTAGCTCTTGTTATATCTGTTTTTAAGTTGCCTATTTCATTATATAAGTTGGAAATATTTGTACAGATTCCTAAACTACAAAATATTCACAAACTTTGGCCTAAGTGGTACTTTAATTGAAGTATGTGTAGTAAGCCTAAGATTTGTTTAGTTGATCTATGGTGCATTTTCTTTAGGTATTTCTGCTTACATTAGTAATGTAAGAAGAAATACCTATTACTCCGTTAGATCACACCTATTTTGCTTTTAATACCAGGAACTAAGAAAATGGGCAGCTGTGTAACCTGAACAATGTCACAGAGTTTGGGCAGTGTGACTGCAATAGTGTGATTGCAGTCCCTGTAAAGCCATAAGAGCAGTGCCTGTCTTGGCATTGAGAAACCCCTTTGGAAAAAAGGTCAATCTGTAAAATAACTTCAGGGAGCATAACTCCCCTGAAAAATTTCAACAACTTAATTTTAGCTTCTTCTGTGCTTCATTGGGTTTATTTCCTCTAAGCGTGGATGAAACTGTAATTTTTTACAACTGCATGGGATTACTGTGGCTAGATGAAATGCAATAAGTTTGGGTGTTGTTTTCTATATGGAGTATCCACTAATTGTAAAATTCTCATAACACAATCAGGGTTGATTGGCTGGTTGATGATTTTTCTGTGAAAGGAGCACGTAAGCATCTGGGCAAACAGGTGGTGCCTCTCCTAAATGCATCTGCAAGGAGTGGAAAGCTGCAATGCATGTCTGCCCTGCTGAATCCAGATGTTTTGGCTGCCCATTAGCATCTTCCAGCTTCTGACTCAGGACTGTGTCCATGTCTGGTATTGTAACACTTTAAAATGCCACCTATGAGAGCTCCAGCAGTTAAAGCTTGGAAGGGTCTTCCTAAGAGCTGTCTTAACCTCCAGTAGACTAAATACAGCATGATTCAAAGCAGGTTTGTTGGATTTAGAACATGGATGGAAAAACTCAAGAGAAACAAGAGATCCACAGCTATGTCCCTATGGGGGAGATGGCTAAACTGAAATGGAGCATTGTCTCACAAGGCTTGTGAATGTGCATTTATAGTCTCAATTTATATATGTACGTTCTGGTAGTATGGGTGCAGATGTACTCTGCCACACAGTTTTTTTTTTTATTAAGCAAATGTGGTTTTTGAGGGAGACCTAACATTGTGATCATAAGGACAGCTTTGCTATAAAGCTGACTCTGGGAATTTAGGGCATATGTTTGTTTATTAATAGTGTACTTTGTTCTATGTATATAAAGAGAGGTCATCAAAAAGTGCATTCCTGATTTGTAGCTTGAAATGCAGATCTCTGCTAAAGCTTGTTTCTGTTCCAAATATCTGCTCATAAAGATATATGGGTATGTGTGCAGTTTAGATATTGTGAGATTAAACTCTCAGAGGCAAGCTTTGCTGCTCTGTTTATTAACAGGCAAAAGCACTGTCTGAAAATTTTACAATAGAGGAGTAGTTCTAGACAGACAGCAAGGCACCACTGTGGGGGCTGATTGCTCATTATATTTAGAGATAAGTAAGGAAGCAATGTGTGAAAGATTGCTTTAAGGGCTAAAGTTTTCTAGTATAGGATACAAAGTACCAGTGGCTGTTTCTGAGAGCTGAGAACACAGATTTAGAAATGGGACTCTGTTTTTAATAGTTGCCTAAAGATACCAAGTGAGAATTCTCTCTTCTTTAAGACCTTTTTTAAAGTTGTAACACTTCTTGTTTTGTTAGTGAGGACTTACTTAATTAGCACCTAACTCAGAATGCCTGATGAGGAACCAGTGAGCGCTTAAATAAAGGTTTGTCACTATGTTGCATAATCTAATATCTGGGGTTGCTAATAATCAGAAGTCCATTGACTTATCCTAATTATTTTTTCATTTACTTTAAATAATGCTCATTTGAATCTTGGTGGACATTTTCATAAAGAGCTGGCTTCCCACTTGACCAGTGCAACCCACCATGTATTTAGATAATACTTGAAATCTGGGTTATCAGTATTACATCTGTGTTTTAACAGGGTCATTTTCTTGCTTGGGAAGTTCTTAGACTTATCAAAGAGCAGTAATTTATTTTTAAAGAGGAAGCCTTATGTATCATTAAGTATGATTTGAGACTTCAGACTTTAATTTCCATACCCTATTGAACCCAATATGACTAATTCAAGTTGGAAATTGAACTTTTTTTCCTTAAACCTTGCATAGCATTAAAATTGCTGTATCTGATACTTAAAAAGACCCCGAACTTAATTTTTTTCTTTTTAGTTTTGCTTACTATGTGTATTTTTCAGCCCCCTCTATAGAGAAAGATGATCCCAAACAGTCTTTCTCCTCTAACAACATGTCAAAATATAGGCTTAAGAATAGTGTATACCACAGGTACTCTGTTTCCAGAATTAGCATTCAGAATTTGCTATTTGCTCTTTTTCTATAGGTCTGTGACTTATTTGAGGTTCACAGTAACCTCATCTGTGTCACACAATTGTGTGGCTTCTGCTTAAAAAGCTTTGGAGACTCTCCAGTCTGGAGTGTGAGCTGGCAGCTTTCTCACCCTCACCTCCTGTGGTTTGGGAGCTGACTGGAAGCTCAGCAACCCCCAAGGTGTTGAGGCATTGCTGGTGGACTGAAACAGTGGCTCTGCCCAAGCCTCTCCTGTTTCATGTGGGAGCTGTGATAGAGCTGAAGGGAGTCTTTTTGCAACCTCCTGCATCAGGTTCTTTCAGGCCCTCTTTCATAGCAAGGTGTGATCACTGCTTGCTGTGATCCCAGAGTGATGCTTTTTTCTTTTCCTTTGCAAATGCACTAAGGTGGCCTAAACTGCAAACTGACATCCTTAATTTCCCTGGATGCCCAGGGTATTGGGTGCTGACTTGGTGAGCTCAGGCAGGGTGTCAAATGATGCAGCTGCCTCAGGTAAAACCAGTGCCGGCACTCTCACTCACTCCTGGACCACTCTAAGAGTCTCAGCCATGCATAAAATCAGTGTTTTAGAGATGTTATCCTGTGTCAGTTTGGAGAACCTCACAGCTAATTTAATGATATATTGTGCATGATAAACTCTTCACTGCCACCCGGGTTTGTGTCTGACTTCTGCCAGGTTATGCACATCTTATGTGTAAGGATGTCCTAAGAAATTAAGATTTCTTACTTTCTTGTGAACAATTGTGCACTTTCATTTGCCAAAGAAT